GCTGGATGGTGTCTGTCACCTCCCGGTGCCACTGCCGGACGCTCTCGAAGGACGCGCGGTTGGTCAGGTCGAAGAGCAGCATCCCCCCGGCCGAGTTGCGGTAGTAGGAGCGAGTGACGGACCTGGGGTGCAAAGAGAAAGGGGGTGAGCAGCCCCCAAGGTCTCCTCTGTGCCACCTTGGGCAGCATCTCCTCTCCCTGCAGAGGGGCCCCAGCCCCGTCCTGCCCCTGCAACCGGCACGTTGCTCCTGAGCCACCATAAGAGCGAGGAGAATCGTCCCTTTCACTGTATCAGCAAGTGGGCCGGGAGTCTTTGTCCCTGCACATCATCAAAGCTGCCCCCTGCAGCCACAGCTCCTGAGCTCTCCTGTCCCCTACAGCCATGTCCCCTGAGCTCTCCTGTCCCCAGCAGCCATGTCCCTTGAGTTCTCCTGTCCCCTGTTGCCTTGTCCCCTCAAGTTCTCCTGTCCCCAGCAGCCATGTCCCCTCAAGGTCTCCTGTCCCCTGTAGCCATGTCCCTTGAGTTCTCCTGTCCCCTGTAGCCATGTCCCTCAAGCTCTCCCGTCCCCTGTAGCCATGTCCCTCAAGCTCTCCCATCCCCAGCAGTGAGGCGTGAAGGCTCCTGGCAGCTGAGCTGAGGAAGCTGCTTTGGCCAGCTCCAGTGGGCTTCCAGTCCCTTCCCCCAGCTCTCTCCAGTTGGTGGGGTTTGGGGGGGTCCTGTACCCTCTTTGGAGCTGGAGCCAGGGCTTACACAGCCACCCCAAGGGCTCCTTTCCCCAGGGAACGCCCCTGGCTTTGGCTTATCTGGGCCCCTGCAGCCTGCCCGGTGCTGGGAATGGGGGTTCCTCACCCATGGGGCTCCCCTCAGCAAGGGACCATTGGGGACAAGGCTGTATCAGGGACCTCCCCAGTGCTGGGATCACATCCCACCAGCACCCCAAATCCAGGGGGACACCTCACTCCCAGCTCCATCACCACTCCCCGTGTCACAGCAGGACCCCCGGGTGAGGGATGTGAGTGGGGAGCGGGGAAACTCACGCGGAGGTGATGGCCCGGAACCGCTCCTGCCCGGCCGTGTCCCAGAACTGCAGCTTCACCCGCAGCCCCGGTTCCAGCTCCACGAACTGGACGTAGAAGTCCACCCCCACCGTCTGGTTGACGGCGTCCAGGAAGACGTCCTCGGTGTAACGCCGCAGCAGCGAGGATTTCCCCACTGTCGAGTCCCCCAACATGATCACCCGGAACTGGTATTGCCAC